TCTTTCTTTTTCTTGGGGGGTGGGGGTGGGGTGCAGCGATGGGATCATAGCTCACTGAAACCTCCACCTCCGGGCCTCAAGCAATCCTCCTGCCTCGGCCTGCCAAAGTGCTAGGATTACAGGAGTGAGCCACCATGCCCAGCCCCCGGTAATTAAAAAAGGTTTTTGGCTAGGTGTGGTGGCTCACACCTGTAATCCCAGCACTTTGGGAGACCAAGGGAGACCTGAGCCCAGGAGTTCAAGACCAGCCTGGCCAACGTGGTGAAACCCCAGCCGGGTGTGGTGGCTCAAGCCTGTAATCCCAGCACTTTGGGAGGCCCAGACGGGCGGATCACGAGGTCAGGAGATCGAGACCATCCTGGCTAACACAGTGAAACCCCGTCTCTACTAAAAAATACAAAAAACTAGCCAGGCGAGGTGGCGGGTGCCTGTAGTCCCAGCTACTCGGGAGGCTGAGGCAGGTGAATGGCGTGAACTTGGGAGGCGGAGCTTGCAGTGAGCTGAGATCCGGCCACTGCACTCCAGCCTGGGCGGCAGAGTGAGATTCCGTCTCAAAAGAACAACAACAACAACAAAAAAAACATGGTGAAACCCCATCTCTACCAATAATACAAAAATTAGTCGGGCATGGTGGTGTGCGCCTGTAGTCCCAGCTACTCAGGAGGCTGAGACAGGAGAATTGCATGAACCTAGGAGGCGGAGATTGCAGTGAGCCAAGATTGCACCACCGCATTCCAGCCTGGGCGACAGAGGGAGACTCTGTCTCAAAAAAAAAAAAAAAGAAAGAAAAAGAGTGTGAACTAATTTGAAAATAGGGCCTTTGCAGAAGTAATTAGTGAAGAGGAGGACATACTGGGTTACAGTGGGCTCTAAATCCAATATGTCTTTGTAAGAAGGCCATGTAGGCCGGGCGCGGTGGCTCAAGCCTGTAATTCCAGCACTTTGGGAGGCCGAGACGGGCAGATCACGAGGTCAGGAGATCGAGACCATCCTAGCTAACACGGTGAAACCCCCTCTCTACTAAAAAATACAAAAAATTAGCCGGGCGTGGTGGCGGGCGCCGGTAGTCCCAGCTACTCGGGAGGCTGAGGCAGGAGAATGGCGTAAACCTGGGAGGCGGAGCTTGCAGTGAGCTGAGATCCGGCCACTGCACTCCAACCTGGGCGACTAAGCGAGACTCCGTCTCAAAAAAAAAAAAAAAAAAAGAAGGCCATGTAGGGTGGCAGCTCATCACTGTAATCCCAGCACTTTGGGAGGTGGAAGGATGGCTTCAGCCACTGCCCTCCAGCCTGGGTGACAGAACGAGACTCAATCTCAAAGAAAAAAAAAATTAAAAAAAGGAAAGTTCAGCCTAAAGAAGAGAACATCTGGGGCAACGTGATCATGGCTTCAGTGGATACTGTCGGACAACTCCCCATATCCCTTCAGTGGTCGCTTTTGTAAACTAAAGGCCACTTCCTGGGGACTCTTCCTGAGGGCCTTGTTCCTGGTCACAGAGAACCCTCAGTTTGCTCATAAGACAAGCCAGGAGTGTGGGGTACAGCCTTCAACCAGTGACAGCAGGGAACTGGGGGGTACCTGAGCCCCCGCCCCGCTAAGCCAGCTCTGAGGTCTGCCCTGCACAGGCTCCCAGAACTCCTTGGCTGCTCACGCCATGACCTGCTTGATAACTCCCCCTGCGTTGCTGCCTCTGCTTCCCTGCCTCAGTTTCCCCCTCCTCTCCTGGGGCTCCCATGGAATCACCTCCCAAATAAATGACTTGCACCAGAATCCTTGTCTCAGGGCCTGCTAGAGAAACTGAAATAAAAAGAACAGTCTTCAAACCTGCCCAAGCCTCGATTTCCTTTTATCTTCCAAAAGAAAAAAAAAGACAAGTTAGGCATTTTTGTAAAGAACAGGGTCAACAGGTAGAAGAAATGGGAATATAGATTTCAGTCAAAGAAGAATTTTTTTTTCCTTTTGAAATGGAGTCTCACTCTGTTGTCCAGGCTGGAGTGCAGTGGCACGATCTCGGCTCACTGCAACCTCTACCTCCCGGTTCAAGCGATCCTCCTGCCTCAGCCTCCCGGGTAGCTGGGATTACAGACACACAACACCACGCTAGGTTAATTTTTGTATTTTTGGTAGAGATGGGGTTTCATCATGTGGGCCAGACTCATCTTGAACTCCTGACCTCAAGGTATCCACCCACCTCAGCCTACCAAAGTGCTGGCATTACAGGGGTAAGTCACCGCACCTGACCAATAATTTTTTGTTTTTTTGAAGAGACAGAGTCTTGCTTGGTCAGCCAGGCTGGTGTACAGTGGCATGATCATAGTTCACTGCAGCCTTGAACTCCTGGACTCAAGTGATCCTCCTGCCTCAGCCTCCTGAGTAGACAGGCCTACAGGTACACATGCCACCATACTCAGTTAATTTTTATTTAATTTGAAAAAACAGTCTGGGTGGGGTGGCTCACGCCTGCAATTTCAGCACTTTGGGAGGCCAAGGTGGGCAGATCACCTGAGGTCAGGAATTCAAGACCAGCCTGGGCAACATGGTGAAACCCTGTCTCTACTAATCATACAAAAATTAGCCAGGCACAGTGGTACACACCTGTAATCCTAGCTACTCGGAGGCTGAGGCAGAAGAATCATTCGAACCCAGGAGGTGGAGGCTGCAGTGAGCTAAGACCGCGCCACTGTACTCCAGCCTGGATGACAGAGCAAAACTCTGTCTCAAAAAAACAAACAAACGGCCGGGCGCAGTGGCTCATGCCTGTAATCCCAGCACTTTGGGAGGCTGAAGTGGATGGATCACTTGAGGTCAGGAGTTTGAGACCAGACTGACCAACATGGTGAAACCCCATCTCTACTAAAAATACAAAATTAGCTGGGCGTGGTGGTATGTGCCTGTAATCCCAGCTACCTGGGAGGCTGAGTCACAAGAATCGCTTGAACCCGGGATGCAGAGGTTGCAGTGAGCCGAGATTGTACCATAGCACTCCAGCATGCGCAACAGGAGCAAAGCTCCATCTCAATTAAACAAAAACAAAAACAGAAACAAACCACCCTCTCATGATCATCCAGACTGTTCTGCCTGGTTTGAGTGACAGGCAACTCACCATCTATCCTCTTCCCACCTACGACAGCTATCACAAAGTTCTGTTAAGTTCTTTTAAAAATTTGGCTGAAGCCAGGTGTGGTGGCTCACCCCTATAACCCCAGTGCTTTGGGAGGCTGGAGTGAGCAGATTGCTTTGAGACCAGGAGTTTGAGACCAGCCTGGCAACTTTTGAGCTCTACAATTTTTTTTTTTTTTGAGACAGAATTTCACCCTTTTTTCCCAGGCTGGAGTGCAATGGCGCGATCTTGGCTCACTGCAACCTCTACCTCCCAGGTTCAAGTGACTCTCCTGCCTCAGCCTTCCAAGTCGCTGGGATTACAGGCATGAGCCACCACAAAATTAGCCCGGCTAATTTTTGTATTTTTAGTAGAGACAGGGTTTCACCATGTTGGCCAGGCTGGTCTCGAACTCCTGACCTCAGACGACCCCCCTCCCCCCACCTCCACCTCCCAAAATGCTGGGATTACAGGCGTGAGCCCCCGCACCTGGCCCCACAAAAAAAAAAAAAAAAAAAAATTCAAATTGACCAGGTATGGCCAACGTGGTGGCTCTTGCCTGTAATCCCCAACAATTTGGGAGGCCAAGGTGAGAGGGTCACTTGAGCCAAGAGTTTAAGACCAACCTGGGCCACATAGCAAGACCTTGTCTCTATTTTTTTCTTTTTCTTTTTAGAGACAGAGTCTTGGTCTGTCGCCCAGGCTGGAATGCAATGGCGGGATCTCGGCTCATTGCAACCTCTGCCTCCTGCGTTCAAGTGATTCTCCTGCCTCAGCCTCCCTAGTAGCTGGGATTACAGGTGCCCATCACCATGCCCGGCTAATTTTTTTTTTTTTTATTTCTAGTAGGGATGGGGTTTCACCATATCGGCCAGGCTCTCCCTCTCTGGCTCTCTCTCTCTCTCTCTCTATATATATATATATGTTGGTTTGCTGTTGTTGTTGTTGGTTGTTTGTTTTTTCATTTGTTGTGTATTGTTTTAAGCGTCAGGTGATTGTGATGATCTGTCAGGTTTGGGATCTGTTAGAAGAGATCTCTCAAATGCCCCCAGCCAGCCCTGGCCCTGCCGGTGTCTCCCCGAGAAGATGGATGGGCTGGCACCTGCCTGGACCGTGTTTTTAAATATCCATTGTCGAGGTTGGGCTACTCTGTGTTCACATCTTGAGACCATCCAGAGCTCCACACGGAAATAAGCAAACAAAACTTTGCCCAAGAGCCAAAAACCTATCTACAATAACCAATTGTGCTATGAAGTCACTTAGCTCAGTTCACTGGAATATTACTTAATTTCCTCTGCTTTTTCTTTTTAAACAAGGAAGTGTTGACTCAGCCAACAGCACTGGGAACCAGACTCCCTGGGGCCTGCCTGCCTCTGCTTTTCTCCCAAATTCTCTTCCTTTTTTGTCCCTGTTGATGGAATTCAATAAAGGGATCTCTACCATCTGTCACTTGTTTTTTTTGTCGCTTGGTTGGTTGGTTTTTTGTTTTTTTGTTTTTTTGGCAGAGTCTCACTCTGTTGCCCAGGATGGAGTGCAGTGGTGCCATCTCAGCTCACTGCAACCTCTACCTCCCAGGTTCAAGTGATTCTCCTGCCTCAGCCTCCGGGGTAGCTGGGATTGCAGGTGCCTGCCACCACACCTGGCCAATTTTTGTGTTTTTAGTAGAGATAGGGTTTCTCCATGTTGGCCAGGCTGATCTTGAACTCCTGACCTCAAGTGATCCGCCCGCCTCGGCCTCCCAAAGTGCTGTGATCACAGGCGTGAGCCGCGACGCCCGGCCCCAGATTATCTTTCTTCGCTGTCTAATTTCCTTCCCACGAGTGTTAGGTTGCTTTTCCTTCGATGGGTCAAAAGTGCTGCTTTTGTTCCCAACCACAAAATTCTCTGGAATTGTTTTCAGAGCCATCTCAGCCTCATAAAAGGGGATCAAGCAGGAGCAGTTTGGGAGAAACCTGTGAAGGGCCTGATTTGCAGCATCATGATGGGCCTGTCCGTGGCCTCTGCTGTGATCCTGGCGTCCCTCTTGAGTCTCCACCTTGGAACTGCCACACGTACGTAGCTGGCCCATTCCCCTCCTGGGGTTCCTTCCTGGACCTCCTGGGAGTGGACGGAAAGGAGCGTCTCCAAAGCCCTTCCTCTCCCTGATTTTTAGGTGGGACTGACATAGCCAAGACATGCTGCTTCCAACACAGCCACAAGTCCCTTCCCTGGACCCGGGTGCAAAGCTATGAATTCACCAGTAGCAGCTGCTCCCAGCAGGCTGTAATGTGAGTATTTCTCAGACGTGCTTTCAGGGACCCTGTCAGCCATGGAACAGGATGGGTGCTGGGCAGACCCCCAGGATAAGCCTTAGGATGGGAACCTGGAAAACCCCCTCTGCACACTAACAAGTGTGACTCTGAGCTTCAGGTAGAAGAACCTGACTCTTTTTTTTTTTTTTTCTTTTTGAGACTGAGTTTCGTTCTTGTTGCCCAGGCTGGAGTGCAATGGCATGATCTCGGCTCACTGCAACCTCTGCCTCCCAGGTTCAAGCAATTCTCCTGCCTCAGCCTCCCAAGTAGCTGGGATTACAGGCACATGCCATCATGCCCAGCTAATTTTTGTGTTATTAGGAGGGACACAATTTCACCATGTTGGCCAGGCTGGTGTTGAACTCCTGAACTCAGGTGATTTGCCCGCCTCAGCCTCCCAAAATGCTGGGATTACAGGTGTGAGCCACTGGGCCCATCCAACCCCCACTTTTAATAAACTCACGTGAGGTAAGGAGTTCAGGAATCATCAGCTGTGATGAATAATCTTGAAAATGTGGTTAACAATTAAATAACATGTTGAGTGTAGGGTTCCTTTCTGGGGTGGTGAAAATATCCTAAAGTTGATTGTGGTGATGGTTGCATAATCTATGACTATAATAAAAAACCATTGAATTATAATTATACCCTTTAAATGGATGGAGCTGTACATGGTGGGGAGGTTTAGACAATTGCTTGAGCCCAGGAGTTCAAGGCTGCAGTAAGCTATGATCGCACCACTGCACTCCAGCCTGGGTAACACAGACTTCATCCCTAACAAAAGAAAAAAAGAAAAAAAAAAAAAAAAAAAGAGTGAATTACAGTTATCCCCCAGTACCCACAGGGGATTGGTGCCAGGATTTCGGCATACAATTTCCCCTGCATTTATGCAGGTTTTGCATCACTGAGTACTGTATTTTCCATGCTCCTTTCGTTGGAAAAAGGCTGCCTATAAGTAGCCCCACAGAGGTCAAACCCGTATTGTTTAAGAGTCAACTGTATGTGCTGTATGAACTGTGTCCCAATAAAGCTGTTCTGTTACAATGAAAGAACCGGCCGGGCGAGGTGGCACAGGCTTGTAAGCCCAGCTACTCCAGAGGCTGAGGCAGGAGAATCGCTTGAACCCAGGAGGTGGAGTTTGCAGTGAGTCCAGATCGTGCCACTGCATTCCAGCCTGGGTGACAAGAGAGAAACTGTTTCAAAAATAAAATAAAATAGGCCAGGCATGGTGGCTCACGCCTGTAATCCCAGCACTTCGGTAGGCCGAGGCAGGTGCATCACCTGAGGTCGGGAGTTCCAGACCAGCCTGACCAACATGGAGAAACCCTGTCTCTACTAAAAATAAAAGATTAGCCAAGCATGGTGGCACATGCCTGTAATCCCAGCTACTCGGGAGGCTGGGGCAGGAGAATTGCTTGAATCTGGGAGGCGGAGGTTGCGGTGAGCCGAGATCACACCATTGCACTCTAGCCTGGGCAACAAGAGTGAAACTCCGTCTCAAATAAATAAATAAATAAATAAATAAAGGCTAGGTGTGATGGCTCACGCCCTGTTATCCCAGCACTTTGGGAGGCCAATGTGGGCAGATCGCCTGAGGTCAGGAGTTCGAGACCACCCTGGCCAACATGGCAAAAACCCATCTCTACTAAAAATACAAAAATTAGCTGGGCGTGCTGATGCGTGCCTATAATCCCAGTTACTTGGGCGTCTGAGGCAGGAGCATTGCTTGAATCTGGGAAATGGAGGTTGCGATGAGCTGAGATCACGTCATTGCACTCCAACCTGGGCAACAGAGCAAGAGTTTGTCTCAAAAAAAAAAAAAAAAAAATTAAGTATCCTGGTGCAGGTTACATGCTACAGGCTAGAACTGGTGGAAAATGGTAAATGACACCTGGGAGAGGTGGGTCTGGAGGCATAGTTTCCAGTGGAAATCAAGGTAGCAAAGAGGAGGGAGGCAAGGCCCAGGAGAAGAGGGGACAGGGACAGACAGCAACAGGTTTGTGGCAAGGCCAGAAGACTAGTGAGGGAACCGCCCCTCCTTCCCTTTCTATCCCATCCCAGGAGGCAAAGAGTCTCAATATTAACTTATCCATGTCTCTCTTTCACAGATTCACTACCAAAAGAGGCAAGAAAGTCTGTACCAATCCAAAGAAAAAATGGGTGCAAAGATACATTTCTTTATTGAAAACTCAGAAACAATTGTGACTCAGCTGAATTTTTATCCGAGGACGCCTGGACCCGGCTCTTGGCTCTGCAGCCCTCAGAGGGGGGCCTGCAGGATCTTTTCCGAAGGTTCCATGGGCCTGCTGGGGAGGAGTGAGTGTTTTCTCCCAGAGATACTTTAATAAAGGTTCTTCATAGAGTTGACTTGTTCATAACATTCTTTGTCCATAAAACCCGAGTTTTCTTCAAGGAAAGCAAACTGATTCAGTATGCATGGCTGGCTGCCTGGGAGGTCCTCAACCCCCGAGCGGACCCTGATACCGAATTCTGCCTTGGGTTTTTGTTTGTTTGTGCAAAAAAAAAGCAAGGGTAATTTTAAGACACTTTGGGAAAATGCTTGGTGAATGTTTTAACATTATTTAGAGGAATAAGTTTAGTTCATTTGGAAAAGGAAATAAACTTATTTCTGTGCAACACCTCACAGCCTGTTAGTACCGTGTAAATTGCAGTAGCTCCGAGTTGGGCAGCGTTTTCTCTTAAGAAAGCAAGACAGGCCGGGCGTGGTGGCTCAAGCCTGTAATCCCAGCACTTTGGGAGGCCGAGACGGGCGGATCACAAGGTCAGGAGATCGAGACCATCCTGGCTAACACGGTGAAACGCCGTCTCTACTAAAACATACAAAAAACTAGCCGGGCGAGGTGGCAGGCGCCTGTAGTCCCAGCTACGTGGGAGGCTGAGGCAGGAGAATGGCGTGAACCTGGGAGGCGGAGCTTGCAGTGAGCTGAGATCCGGCCACTGCACTCTAGCCTGGGTGACAAAGCAAGACTCCGTCTCAAAAAAAAAAAAAAAAAAAAAAAAAAAAAAAGAAAGCAAGACACTAATTAGTAAATGTGAATATTATCTACCTACCAAACTGAGGATGCTTATGTCTATATAGCTTAAATAAGCTTTTTATAAAAATAATCAACTGGGTGCAGTGGCTCCTGGCTGTAATCCCAGCACTTTGGGAGGCTGAGGCGGGAGGATCACTCGAGCCCAGGAGTTTGAGATCAGCCTGGGCAACACAGTGAGACTCACCACTACAAAACATTTAAAAATTTCTAGACATGGTGGCATGTGCCTGTAGTCCCACCTACTTGGGAGCTTGAGGTGGGAGGATTTCTCGAGCCTGGGAGGTCAAGGATGCAGTGAGCCATGATCGCACCACTGCACTCCAGTCTGGGCAACAGAGCAAGACCCTGTCTCAAATAATAATAATAATAAAGACCAACCTGGGCAACACAGTGAAACCTTGTCTCTACAAAAACACAAAAAATTAGCCGAGTGTGGTGGCACATGCCTGTGGTCCCAGCTACTCAGGAGGCTGAGGCAGGAGGATTACTTGAGGCCAGGAGTTGGAGGTTGCAGTGGGCCAAGATCACAGCACTGCACTCCAGCCTGGGTGACAGAGCGAGCCCCTGTCTCAAAAATATTTTTTTTATTAAAAAATAAAAAGTCCAGGCACGGTGGCTCACACCTGTAATCCCAACACTTTGGGAGGCCAAGGCAGGCGGATCACGAGATCAAGAGATCAAGACCATCCTGGCTAACACGGTGAAACCCCGTCTCTACTAAAAATACAAAAAAATAGCAGGGCGTGATGGTGGGTGCCTGTAGTCCCAGCTACTTGGGAGGCTGAGGCAGAAGAATGGTGTGAACCCAGGAGGAGGAGCTTATAGTGAGCTGAGATCACGCCACTGTACCCCCGCCTGAGCGACAGAGTGAGACTCTGTCTCAAAATAAATAAATAAATAAATATAAAATAATAAAATAAAATAATAATAATTATTTTTGCAATTTCTTGCAACTTTTTGTGAATCTATAATTATTGTTTATAGTTATTAATTATTAATATCTATAATTATTATAGATTTACAAGAAGTTGCAGAAATAGTATGGGGAGGTCAGGTGTACCTTTTTTATTATTGAGACAGAGTCTTGCTCTGTCACCCAGACTGGAGTGCAGTGACATAATTATAGCTCACTATAGCCTCTACCTCCCTGAGTTCAGGTGACCCTCCCACCTCAGCCTCCCAAGTAGGTAGGACTACAGGCATGGTCCACCACACCCGGCTAACTTTTGTATTTTTGGCAGAGACAGGGTTTCACCATGTTGCCCAGGCTAGTCTCAAATTCTTGGGCTCAAATGATCTGCCCACCTCAGCCTCCCAAAGTGCTGGGGTTACAGGTGTGAGCCACCGTGCCCAGCCCCCAAATCTATCTTTTACTTAGTTTACCCCAGTGGCTACATCTTATGTAATTATAATGCAGTATCAAACCCAGGAAATTGACACTGGTATAAAGCGTGTGCATAGTTCTGAATTACTGTCATTTTATCACATGTACAGATTCACATCATAGCAACTGAGATCCCGATCTATTCCAACGTCACAGAGATCTCCCTCCAGTTATCCCTTGACAGTCACACCTCCCCTCCACCACCATCTTTAGCTCCTGGCAACCACCATCCTACTCTTTGGTACTATGAATCTGACTTTTTAGATGCTACCTAGGGAGTAAGTTAAATCAGGCAGTATTTGTCTTTCTGTCCCTGGCTTATTTCACTTTGCATAATGTCCTCCAGGTTTATCTATGTTGTTGCAAATGGCAGGATTTCCTTCTTTTTTAAGGTTGAATAATATTTCATTGTCTGTGTGTGTGGGGATCACATCTTCTTTATCCATTCATCCACTGATGGACACTTAGGTGGCTTCCATATATGGGCTGTTGTGAATAATGCTTCAGTACACGTGGAAGTACAGATACCTCATTGACATGTTGATTTATTTTCTTTTTTTCTTTTTTCTTTCTTTCTTTCTTTTCTTTTCTTTTCTTTTTTTTTTTTTTTGAGACAAGAGTCTCTCTCTGTCACCCAGGCTGGAGTGCAGTGGCGCAATCACAATCTCAGTTCACTGAAACCTCTGCCTCCCAAGGACCTCTGCCTTCCGGGTTCATGCCATTCTCCTGCCTCGGCCTCCCGAGTAGCTGGGACTACAGGCATGCGCCACCTCGCCTGGATAATTTTTTTTTTTTTTTTTTTTGAGACGGAATCTCGCTTAGTTGCACAGGCCAGAGTGCAGTGGCACGATCTCAGCTCACTGCAAGCTCCCCATCCCAGGTTCACGCCATTCTCCTGCCTCGGCCTCCCGAGTAACTGGGACTACAGGCACCCACCACCACGCCTGGCTAATTTTTTGTATTTTTAGTAGAGATGGGGTTTCACCGTATCAGCCAGGATGGTCTCAGTCTCCTGACCTCGTGATCCGCCCACTTTGGCCTCCCAAAGCGCTGGGATTACAAGCGTGAGCCACCGAGCCCCGCCTGATAATTTCTGTATTTTTAGTAGAGATGGGGTTTCACCATGTTGCCCAGGCTGGTCTTGAACTCCTGGCCGCAGGTGATCTGCCAACCTCGGTCTCCCAAAGTGCTGGGATTACAGGAGTGAGCCAGCGCGCCTGGTGACATGTTTATTTCTTTTTTTTTTTTTTTGAGACGGAGTCTCGCTCTGTCGCCCAGGCTGGAGTGCAGTGGCCGGATCTCAGCTCACTGCAAGCTCTGCCTCCCGGGTTTATGCCATTCTCCTGCCTCAGCCTCCCGAGTAGCTGGGACTACAGGCACCTGCCACCGCGCCCGGCTAGTTTTTTTTTTTGTATTTTTTAGTAGAGATGGGGTTTCACCGTGTTAGCCAGATGGTCTTGATCTCCTGACCTTGTGATCCGCCCGCCTCGGCCTCCCAAAGTGCTGGGATTACAGGCTTGAGCCACCGCGCCCGGCCGACATGTTTATTTCAATTACCTTGGATAGGTATCCAGAGGTGAGGTTGCTGGGCTGTACTGGCAATCCTGTTGCCTATTTGAACTTTCTGAAGAAACTCCCTGCTGTTTTCCATAATGACTGAACCAATTTACATTCCCAACCACAGAGTCAAGGCTTCCCTGGTCTCCACATCTCATCAACACTTATCATTTGTCCTTTTTAAATGTTTTTTTCTAGTTGAGACATGGTCTTGCTCTGTCACCCAGGCTGGAGGGCAGTGGCAGGATCATAGCTCACTGTAGCCTTGACCTCCTGGGCTCAAGTGATTCTCCCACCTCAGCTTCCTGAGTAGCTGGGACTACAGGTGTGTGTCACCACATCTGGCTAGTTTCTGTATTTTGTTTTGTTTTGTTTTTTTTGGTTTTTTTTGGTAGAGACGATATTTTGCCATGTTGCCTAGGCTTCACTTGTCTTTTTGATAATAGCCATCTAATGATGTGAAGTGCTATATCTCACTGTGGTTTTGATTTGCATTTCCCTAATGATTAGTGATGTGGAATATATACATATATATTTTAGCGTACTTGGTGGTCAATTGTATGTCTTTGAGAAATGTCTATTAAGGCTTCTTTGCCCACTGGTTTTTTGTTTTTTTCTTTTGTTTTGTTTTGCTTTGCTTTTTGTTTGTTTGTTTCATTTTGCTTTGTTTTGGTTTTTTTGAGACAGAGTCTTGCTCTGTTGCCCAGGCTGGAGTGCAGAGGCTCAATCTCAGCTCACTGAAACCTCTGCCTCCTGGGGTCAAGCTATTCCCCTGCCTCAGCCTCCTGAGTAGCTGGGATTACGGGTACGTGCTAATTTTTGTATTTTCAGTAGAGACAGCATTTCACCACGTTGGCCAGGCTGGTCTCAAACTCCTGACCTCAGGTGATCCGCCCACCTCTGCCTCCCAAACCAAAGTGCTGAGATTACAGGCCCCGTTTTTTTTTTTTTTAGATGTAGTCTCGCTCTGTTGCCCAGGCTGGAGTGCAGTGGCGCCATCTCAGCTCACTGCAGCCTCTGCTTCCCAGGTTCAAGCGATTCTTATTTACATTTACATTGTAAAAATACAAAATCAATCATGAGAGCTATTGGCTATTAGTACCTGGCATTGAGGAAGCGCTTATTGCTCAAAGTCCAATCTTCTTAATTTTTTATCTCAGGTCTTGGATGATGTTTTAGATATTGTTTCCCCAGAAATAAACCTTAAGATAAGAATTTACATGTAATATGTTTTGAAGGTGATCTCAGGAGACACCAACCTGAGAGAGAAAAGGGAAAGCCTCCAATAAGTGTGTATTATCAAGCAAGTTACCAATGTGGATGACGATGCTAAATGGTGTTGAGGAGCTCTGGGCAATGATGTAGAATCC